ACGTTCTCAGAAGCTTACTCTACATTCTTTCCATACTGTCTATGTGCTTCTCATTCGCGCACATCTCTCTCTGTGCAGCCACTGGGAAGGCAGGTCTAGAATCTTCTTGCACCCAGAGTCCAGTTTCTGGAGTGAGATGTGTCAGCACCTCCCTTTCCTCGAGAAAGATGTCCTGATGTCAGTCACAGAACCCCAGCTGACATCTTCCACCCAATCCTGCTTCTGCGTGCTGCAAGCCACTGTGGACACAAGCCAAGCTCTGGGTCCCAAGGGCTTTTGGGAACACTTCCTGTCCCTTTGCAGCCAGATTCTGCTCCCTAAGGTCCCAGGGAGGAGAAGAGTCTCAGAGGAAGACAGTGGCCACAACCCTGTGCTTCTGCCTCATCCCCAAAACTCCCTTAATTGGAAATTTAGTCCGAGGTTGAATTGGGGCCAGGCAGCCATTCCCACGTGGCACCAGCCCGAGGGCATCCAGGACTCTGCCCGGGCACTCATGAGTACTCCCGATCTCTCCGGCCTCCCCACACACAGCACAGGGAGGTCGGGCACCAGCTGGACCCTGGAGGCCCAGGCCGGCACAGGGGAGGCCGGGCACCAGCTGGACTCTGGAGGCCCAGGCCAGCAGCAGGCCTGGGGAACTCCCCAGGGAGAGCTCCATGCCACCAGGGTCGAGGATGCAGGAAAAGTGAGGGGACCAAGGGAGTGGCAGGGTTTTCTCCTGCAAGAACTTAGGGAAACAAACCCCTCTTTCTCTTCCCGTGTCCCTTTACTCACTTGGAAGCCAAACATGGTAGATGCTAGCTAGCTATTTTCATTGCCAGCTGCGCTGTGCCAGACATGAGCTCATCTCCTCCTCCTCCTAACAAGACTGTGAAGAAAGAGGATTCTGGGCTCAGAGTGGTGGAGTAACTTGGGCAAGGTCACACAGCCAGTCCAAAGGAGCACTGATGTTTCATTTCACGGTCTGCTAAATGCTGAACCCAAGCTTTTTCCTCCTCCTCATGTCCCAGGGGACCCAGGACAGTCCTGATTTCTGCCTGTCATAATCCACATGCACTCAGTGTCACAACCTACAATGTCCTCCATGTAGACTGACACGTGATCCCTAGCACTACAGACACAAACAAGCAAACCAATACATAGATAGGTTCTCAAAGAGATGCTCTTCCATATGGAAGAATTTCAGACACATGTGGGTAGCTCCTCCCCACCAACCCCCCCCCCCCAACAAAAGGTGAAGCTTAATTCCAGACTACAATCCCTCAGAATGATGTCTGCATTCCGAAGACTAGACTATTTAAAAAAAAAAAAAAAAAACCCAGTGGCTCACATGGCAGAATCCTGGCAAATGCCACCTGAGTCACATGACCCAGGCGGGTGCCAGCAGCAAGGAGTCACTTGGATTTCGTGTACTCAGTATGATATAGTGGGAAGGGCACTTTATCTCCATGGTGGACTCCAAAACCTCCAGCCTCAATCTGATTAAGAGAAAAATATCAGACCAAATGGGAGGGAGGGGGTACCTATAGAATGCCTGACTCTGCTCCAGGTCAAGAGAAATAAGGAAAGACAGAGAAATCAGCGGTGGCTGATAAGATGTGACAATTTAATTCACCTTGGGATCCTAGAATGGAAAATGGCCATTCGTGGGAAACCTGAGAAAATTCAAATAAAGTCTGGAGTGTAACAAATGGTAATGTGTACCTATTGGGTTTGAGGGGGCATTACAGTGACATACGTAGTCAAGACTGGGGAAATGGGGGTACAAAGTCATGGTAGCTCTTTGTAACTATCTGCAACTTTTCTGTGAACCTAAAATCATTGTGACATAAAGCTTTCGTTTTTAAAAAGTGCTGTATGCATGGTACAAGTGGCTCACACCTGTAATCCTAGCTACTCAGGAGGCTAAGATCTGAAGATCACAGTTCAAAGCCATCTCAGGTCCATGAGACTCATCTCCAATGAGCCACCAAAAAGCCAGAGGTGGAGCTGTGGGCTCAAGGGGTAGAGTGTAGCCTTGAGCAAAAAAGCTAAGGAATAGCACCCAGGCCCTAAATTCAAGCCCAAGCACTGGCACATGCACGCACACACACACACCCTTTTCCTTATAAAAGTGTTCAGGATTAGATAATAAATATTCGGTCACCTGGTCATAAGCCAGGTTCCTGTGGCTTATTCCACTTGTGCTGCTATAATACTATCCCTGAGACTGCATAATTTACAATGAATAAAATAGTATTGGTTCATAGTTCTGAAGGCTAAGAAGTCTAAGGTCGAGGTGTCAGGAGAGAAGTTCAATGTCTGGTGAAGACTATTCTTTTCCGAGATGGCACCTGGCGCACAATGTCCTCCAGAGGAGAGGCAGGTTCTCATATGGCAAAAATCCTAGAAGGGCCAATAGGCAAAAAGGGCCAAACTAGCTCTTCAATAATGACTTTAGTCCCACCCATATGGGCAGAGCTCTGGTACCTAACCACCTCTCAATCCACTTCCTCCTACTGTTGTAAGGGCAATTACATTTCAGCTGGTATTGGAGGAAATCAACACTAAAGCCAGAGCAGCCATAACCAAGAAGTTTTAAGAATATCACCATAAATCCTTTCCCTCTTCGTGATACTGACTGTTCCAAACTCACAGCAATGTAACGTTTAGAGAGAGCATGACGTGCAGGTTAAAGCTTTGGAGCAGAAAGCCAGAGACTGAAGTCTTCTCCCTCTTGCTTCCAGCTGGCGTTGGGAAGTCTTTCTTTTGCACCTCAGTTTCACTTCTGACAAATAAACTCACTGACTAATGATCAGATAATGACCTTTGTGGAGCCCGTATTTGGTATGCGGTGCTATGCCACCCTGATTCTTCCACCTGCAGCTGCTCCCCAGGACTGCCCTTGGCTGGAGAGAGCCAGGTAGGGGCAGCCTGCATCCCATACAGAGGCTATGAAGATGTAGGTCCCTCCCCCTAACCTTGGAAGACTGTGAAGGTCATTTCCACTTCCAAGGGCCACACGAGGTTCTCAGAGACCTTTATGAAGAGACACTGCACTGCCACCAAGTCCCTCTTATCCTATCCTGCTTCTCCTTTCCCTAGGAGCATCAGTTGAGAATGTGTCCTATAAACATCCTGCACTCTGGTCCCCAGGCCATTCTGTTCCATAGCAGGATCAGGAACCCCTGTCCCCTGTGCCGCCAGCCTTCTCAACCCACAGTCCAGTTCTGTTTTTTACCGATGAGATGACTAAGGTTAGAGGACACTCAACTGGCCAAGGCCCCACAGCTAAGAAATGGCAACATCACATGGGGGGAACTGAAGTCACAAGGGCAGGCAAAGGGTTCCCCCAGGCTCCTGCCCCATAAAAGATGGAGGAAACAGGATTTGTTGCCAGGTCTACTTCACTTTCACCTCCACCAGCATCCCAGTCCATCTATGGCTGCCAATGGTGTCGCTACAGGCACTGGGCAGGTGAGTGCCTTTCGTGATGTCATGTTGCTGTCCCTGCAACTCACTCTCAATTTGTGAAACAAAAATGAAGATAGTGCCAGGCGCCGGTGGTTCACACCAGTAATCCTAGCTACTCAGGAGGCTGAGATCTGAGGATCTGTGGTTCAAAGCCAGCCTGGGCAAGAAAGGCCATGAGATTCTTATCTTCAATAAACCACTCAGAAAACTGGAAGTGGTACAGTGGCTCAAATGGTAGAGCGCTAGCCTTGAGCGGAAGAGCTGAGGGACAGCGCCCAGGCCCAGAGTTCAAGCCCCATGACTGACAAAAAAAAAAAAAAATGAAGATAGTACTTCTGTGGGCAGCAAGAGGAAGAAGGCACATGCCCAGCATAGAATAAAAAAATCCAGGCCCCAGGGTAAAGATGGTAGGAAAATTGACCGGACTAGAGACTGGATACTAGACAAAAAAAAGTCCAGTCACTTTAGACAAATCACCCTCATCTCCTTGAGCTTCAGATTTAGCTCCTCTGTAAAACTTTCAGGGACTGGAAAAGTAGCTTAGTGGTAGAGTGCTTGCCTAACATGTACCAAAAGTGAGTATATAAAATGGAAATAAAAACAGTGTCTATTTTATAAGGTTGTTAAGGTTCCACATTTGTAAACTACTAAAGATACCATGTGCATAGTAAGTGCTGTCCATTTCCGGAGGTATTCCAATTTACTCTGCCATACATAGAATGAGAAGATGTGGTGGAGTTTGAATGTAGATGACAGGGCGGGTGCTTCGTGTGTGGAAGGGTGGCTGGGTAGGTGAAGGGGCTGATGCATGAAGTGCGGTGGATTGTTGGATGGCGGTGCGGAGGTAGATGTTGCTCCAGTTACGGAGGCGTGGAAGTTGTTGAGTAGATGCAGGTGTCTGGTGAATGGAAGCATGGCTGGGTGGGTGGGATCAGCTGAATGAATGCAGAAGATGAGTGGATGAGGAACGGATAAACGGTTGAATGGATGGGTGGTTGAATAACTGAATGGAGGAGTGAGAGGAAGGATGGGAGCGTGTGAATGTGTGTGTAGATGGGTGGACGTGTGGCTGAGTGACTGGAGGTGGCTGGATAAATGGGAGGCCAGCCTTCGATTCCAGTGGGAAGGATGGATGGGGAGGATGTTGGGGAGTTGGGGGCGGGGTTGTGAAGGAGGGGATGAGAGGCATGTCTGGGTGCATGGATGCCTGCTGGATGTGGGTGGGTGAACAGCAAAACGGAGCGGGTCAGAGGGGGAGCGAGCGGAGCGTGGGTTACTCCGTCAGTCGGGTGAACATGTTATGTCGAGGGGTTTGGCTGAATGGCAGAAGCGAAGTGAACGAATGAATGAGCATTTAGCTGGATGGATGGACAGGTGACGGCCGACGCCCAAGGTCACTCCAAGTAAAAGGCAGAAAGGCCACCGGGGAACCCCGAGAGGGGTGGGGACCGAGCCTCCTCCGGGGCAGCCTTTGCTCCAGGGCCCCTGGCTTGGCTTTGCTGGTCCTCTCCCCCGACCCCCCCCCCCCCCCCCCGCCCCAGGCCTACCTGGAGACGGCGATCTCGGCCTTCTGGCGCGCGATGGCGGCGGCGCGCTGGGCCCCCTCGACGGCGTGGTCCACCTTCTGGCGGACCTTGGCGCTCTTGAGCGGCAGCACGCGGCGCCGGGTGCCCTTGACCAGCACGTTGTGGCGGTACTTGCCCTCCTCGCGGCGGCCGTCGGGCAGCGTGGTGCAGCCGTAGCCGTGGCGCAGGTTGTCCAGCCACTCGCCCTCGTAGCGCAGGCCGCTGGAGCGCTCGCTCACGCCGAAGCCCGAGCGCTTGTCGCTCTTCCACTCGCCCATGTAGGTCTCGGTGGTGGTGGCGTCGATGTCGGCCTCGAAGGGCGCGGCGGCGGCGGCGGCGTCCTCGTCGGCGCCCTCGGCGCCCTCGCCCAGGCTGGCGGTGGAGGCGTTGTCGCTGGCGCCCGAGCTCAGCTCGCCCTTGAGGAAGCTGACGCGGCTGCGCTGGCTGCCCAGCGACGAGCGGGACTCGGAGCGCCGCAGCGCGCCCAGCAGCGCGCCCCGTCGGAAGAGGCCGCCCGGGCCCCGCGCCGCCGCCGCCGCCGCCTCCCCGCTGGCCAGCAGGCTGAGCGCGAAGCCGCCGCGCGGGATGGCCGGGGAGGGCAGCGCCGGGCCGTCGGAGGCCGGCGAGCCCGGCGAGTCGGGGCCCAGCGTGCCGTTGCTGTGCTCGCTGCGCAGCGACGACAGCGACGTGCGCAGCGGCGAGCGCACCACCACCGCCAGCCCGTAGGGGACGCTCTGCCGCACGCCGTAGCCGTGCCGCATGCCGTTGGTGAACTGGCCCTGGTAGGTTCCTGCGGGGCGAGGAGAGCGGGTCAGTGCCCCGGGAGGGGGGGGGCGCGCGGGGTCCCCGGCTGATCCCCCTCCCCCGGGACACGAGGCACCCAGCCACAGCATCACCCCAGGGGGCGGACGGGGAGGTCCCTCCCCCACCACCACCACTGGGGACCGGGCAAGGTCATCCCAAGGTCACCGAGGGCCCTGCGTGCAGCCCCGGGACTCCAGAGGCCCACGGCCTGTGCCAGCACGCGGGAAGGCGCTGGGTGGTGTGGGGATTCCCACAGCCGGGACACGCCAAGGTCCGGAGTGGGCAAGACGGGGTAGGTGAGTGCTGAGCTGCCCCCCGCAGCCGCCCCATGCTGGCCAGCACGCTGGGCACATCCATGTCCAAGTACAGTTACCTGAGCACCGGGCGGGAGGCTCTGTGGATTTGCTAAGGTTCAATGAAATGTGCCCAGATTCTGGAATGGGCTAGATCATTTGTAGGCAAGACACGCGGGCTTGTGCAGCGGGGCTGGCTGTTGGCATTTGTGGAGAGTGGGGAGCTGTGAGGACATCTGTGTGCGCTGAGATCTCGTGAGAAATGCACAGCAGGGGATGGTGTGAGGTGCTGAGACATTAGGGGTCTTGAGCGTGCGAGGAGAGGCAGAGTTGAGAGGTCAGAGGGAAGAGCACAAAGGTCAGAGTGCAGGGTGGTAGGAGCAGCGAGGCTGTTCCAGGGATGTCAGGTTATACTCAGATGCCCAGCCATCGGAGGGGCCAAGGTAATGTGACTGTCCCAGGTCATGAACACATAAGGAAGGGTTTGCACACTGGTGTGAGATTGTCCATGTGTGCTCGTGTTAAGATGATGTGTACAAGACATGTGGGTGTGCATGTGTCTTCTACTGTCTGACATCAGAGCACCAGGTGTCCAAAGCTCCATAGAGGTGATGTTATGGATGAATGCAACATCTCCTGTTGTCACCACTCAGAGCCCATGGAGGCCCCGGAGGCCGAGTGTGTGGGGTTGTGGCATTAGTGAAATGGAGACCTGTGTGCCCAGCATTGTGCTGCATATACACAGCTGTCGGCAGCCATGGCCCTGGAGGCCTACAAGCGCAGAAGCTCCCAGGAACAACACCGATTGTATCAGCAGCCTGCTCAATTCCTCTGTGAAAGGCAGCACGGACACCTCAGCCTCCAGTGCAGCCTTGGCCTTCATTAAGCTGTGTGTCTTTGGGTAAAACCCCTCTTTGCCTCAGCTTCCTCATTTGTCAGTGGTAATTTTTTTTTTTTTTTCTGAACTTGGGGCCTAGGCGCTGTCCTTTGGCTTTTTCACTCCCAATTGGTACTTTGCCACTTAAGCCACGGCTATACTTCCAGCTTTTTGTTCATTAATCAGAGATAAGAATCTCATGGACTTTCCCGCTCAAGCTGATTTTGAACCTCAATCCTCAGATATCAACCTCCTGAGTAGCTAGGATTACAGGTAGGAGATACTGGCACTCGACAATAACTCTTACCTCCTAGTGTTGAGGTTTAAATGAATTAATAGCTCTGAAAATACTGAAAGAAAAAAATGTATGCGTGATATTGGGACTGTACAAAGATGTTCTAATGTGAGGTCACCTGAGTTGACACGAGGCTGCCAAAGTGACTTCACACCACACCCCCATCCCACCACATGGTTCTAGGGCCATCACCAACTGTGTCCCATTGTCTCTGGATGATGACATCATCTAGTGTTTTCTCACTGCCAGGAATGTCCTGCTAATCCCCCCTCCCCACCCAAATATATTCTCAACCCTACCCTGCCGGTGGAAGCTCCTGATGCCGGCTCAGACACAGACATTCCGTCTATATTACATAGTCACCTCCAACTATTCAGCCACAGGACCTTTGCACTTACTGTTGCCTCTGCCCGGAAAGTTCTTCTTCAGATATTTCCATGGCTCACCCTTCGTGCTCTTCAATCCTCTACTTACCTGGCCCTGGGAGCCTCAATTGACCACACAATTTAAAATGATAACCCTCATTCCCTAGATTTCCCCCTTTCTTTGTTCTAGTCCTCATAGTGTATCTAATACAATGTATTTTTCTTCTTCTCTTAATTGACCATCACCTTGCTGGCAAAGGAGCTCTAGAAAGGCCAGATATTTTTGCTCTCTATTTTGTTCACTGTGGTATCCTAAGAGTTTGGAATAATACCCAAGGGGTATACAGCCTAGAGCTGTTTCTTCTCTTCCTTCTGTATGGAAAATAGCTCTGTGAAAACACCTGCAGAAGTATCTTACATTCCTCTTCTACAGAGGAGACACAATTACAGCCTGGTCCAGGACAAACGATTTACTCTCCATAACAGAGCGAAGAAGTCCCCAGAGCCAAAATCCACAGAGGTGCCTTGTGCCTCTTCCAGGTCTCAGAAGAAATGGGGAAATAAGAAGTAAAGGGAAGACACATGAATAGAACCGAGAAGATAGTGGTTGGGGAGAAAGAGAAAAGACACTTAATGCTCTGGGCTGGGGAAGTCTGTGAAATTAAACCCACTAGCCTACCTTTAGCTTAACTCTGGCATGAGATGGGCTGACATGGCCCCTTTAAACCCAAGAAAAACTCAGGTTGCAACAGACCCGAGGCTCTTGGCCACCACCAGTTGGGGAGGAAATAGCCAGGCTATATTAGGAAACTTAGAAGCAAATGGCCAGAGGCACGAACACCCAGGGGAGGCTGGGAGTGACTGGGCCCTGGGAAGAAGGAAAAGCCAAGTGTGGGCTATCTCTCCAAGTTTGCCTACGACAAGACAGTCCTCCCTGGGGACGAGAGGAGCACATCTGTAGAGGGAGAGAAGGCCGGGCCTGCCCACAGCTACCTGGCTGAGAAAGACCCTTCACACAAAGAGGAGTGCTTCCTTTCACAGTGGCCCGGCTGCCAGCACTTGGCCTAGTGCATCCCATTGTTCTCAAGGGAACAGCGAAGGTCCCCAGCAGCTACACAGCCTGGCATGCCCATCCCTGACCACTTCTCCTGCCTTTTCTTGAGAGCTTCATTGTCACACTCACCTCTGCACCTCAGGGCCTTTGCAGATGATTTTTCCTTTTGTTGGAAATCTCCTCCTGTCCCTCTTCCCCTACCCAACGCTGAAGGACGGTTCAAGCTTCAGCTGAAATGCGACTTCATTTAGGAAAAGGTCTTGAGCCCTCCCCTGAGTACTGCCGGAAATGTCACCTACTTTCTCCACATTTCCCAAGGGCAGAGTAATAATGATTAGGATCATTGGTTCTATCCCTTTCTATCCTCATCTTTGGCTTCCAAGAGGGAGGGAACAATGTCTAGTTTCTTTCCAAGATGGTCTCCAGAATCTTCCATTGTTCCCAGGCCCAAAGAAGCATTCAGTAAGTAGCTAATGATTTGTGACCATCTTTTCCTGAATGATACTTTTATGCATGCGCACATTTCTTTCCTGTCATGATTCAGCCTAAAACAGCTGCTCAAAAGTGGATTACGGCAGCTTCCAGAGATTCTCTCAATAGTTGCCCTTCTAGTTGTTATAGAACAATCTGGAGTTTGGCCTTAAGTAGTTCTAAAATATACAGAAATTATTTAAGCCAGCTGAGACTCAGTTTGTCCTTCTTCAGTTTGTACTACATCTGGTTATTCATTTTCCCCCGCTTTGAATTTGACAGGCATTTACCATGGACCACGCAATCATCATCTATATGGTAGAGATACAGCAGTGAACTAAACGGACATTCTCTCTACCCACAATATGCTTGGAGTCCAGTGCCAGGGGTGGACAAAAATTAATCAACCAATCACACAAAAAACAGGTAGCAGCCACAACAAAGAGTGAGACAAGAAATGAAGGTCCAAGTCTTGAGTGGCATGTAGTGGTTGACAATTAAATGAGCTACAAGGGAAGCATCTAGACCAGTGCTAGCACACCGGAAGTGCTACAAAAGGTTGGCACATAGGAAATGCTCCATAAAGTCTGGTGAACCGGAAGTGTTCCATAAAGGCTGGCAAACAGGAAGTGTTCCATAAGGGCTGGTGCATAGGAAGGGCTCTATAAAAGTTGGTGAACCAGAAGTGTTCCACAAAAGCGGATGCACAGGAAGTGCTCTGTGAGGACTGATGCACCAAAACTGTTCTGTGAAGGCTGGCTTATCTTGATGGAACTGAGGTCTTGCACCTGCTTGACAAGTGATCTACCACTGAGCTGCACCTCCACCCATCAAAGGCTAGATTTGGCAGGTCAGAGCCTTTGCTCAAAAAAGCCCAGAAAGGATTAACTGTATAGATGAAAAGGAGCCAAGAAGAACAGAGAGAACCCAGGGCAAGATGGAGCCCAGCTCCAATTTTCTGCTTTGGTATGAGAGCGTATAAGAAAGCATGCTTGTGTTGCAGGTACCATTGACTCAGGAAGGTCTCAGTTTCCATCCTTAAGAAGGAGAAAAAGTTCATCTCTGTGCAGCTTCTCCCAAAATACACAGTGCAGAATAATTTCCAGAAGCCACATCTGTAGCGTGGCCAGATATTCTGATTTAATTGACCTGGATACTGGCTGCTTTTTGTTGTTGTTGTTGCTGTTGTGGGGCTTGAACTCAGGGCCTAGGTACCATTCCTGAGCTCTTTTGCTCGATACTAGCATTCTACCACTTTGGGCCACAATACTACCTCCAGTTTTCTGGTGGTTTATTAGAGATAAGAGTCTCACAGACTTTCCTGCCTGGGCTGGCTTTGAACTGCAATCTTCAGATCTCAGCTTCCTGAGTAAATAGGACCACAGGTATGAGCCACCAGCGCCCAACACTGGAATCTTGATCTCCCTCCACACCTCACCTCTATTGAGTGGTGTGAACATTCATTCTCTCTCACACACACACACATATGTACATGCAAGCACATATGCAGTTCCACCACAGTGTGCTGTGTTGCCCTTTCCAGAGGCCCAATTAAGGGAGCCACTTGATCTTGGGCTTTGAGTTAAATAGGCCTCTTCTTCTTTATAAGTAGCCCGTGTCAAGAACTTCAT